CCTCAGTTTTCTCATCTGTTAAATGATCTGGAGAAGGAAATAGCAAACCACACCAGTATCTTTGGCAAGAAAACCCCACACTGGGTCATGAAGAGTCAGGCATGATTTAAATGACTGGGACAACAACAATAAACATCATCTTCAACTCTTAAGCAGCACGGAAAACTCATGAAATCCAGCATATTCTTTTTTCTGACTGTGGTATTAGTTCTCCAGTAATGGGCTTGAGGTGACCTGGACAGAATTTCTCTTCCAGCAGTCACACCTTAGGTGAGCTTCTTCCCCCCTCTACCTCCTCTACCTCTTGTCATTTGTCCTGGATACAAAAATTCCTAGTTCTGACTCTGGAAAGGTTCTGTTGCCTGTTAGGGGAGAGAGACTGCTTTGTGCTCATTATTATTTTGGAAGACAAATCAGCCTCAATTCAGTTGTTGTTCCTACATCAATCTGATGTTATTAATTTTGAATAGTCACTGATGATATCAACTTAAAGGGAGTTCTCCATTGGACTGCCATTGAGATCTGTTCTCTCCACCAACTTGGAGGGAGTTCTCCATTGGATTGTTCTTGAGATCTATTCTCTCCACCAACTTGGAGGGAGTTCTCCATTGGATTGCCATTGAAATCTATTTTCTCTACCGGATGATATACCAGGAAGGAGTCAAACTGCTTGGCTCCCTGGAACCATGAGTCCTTATTTTCATTTCAGCCATTTTTCAGCCTGCAGTCACTACCTTTCCACCAGTGGTGTGAGAACTGTGACCAAATCGATACTTCCATTGCTTTTGGAAAGGGCATGTTCCTTCACTGCATTTTTATTCCATTCACTATCTTCTTGATTTCACAAACCAAAACCCTGCTGCCTGACCATCACTCTGCTATCTTACCTCCTTCATTAGAACCTAACCTCCTTGAGAACTCAGAGGTTAACTAACTTGTCTCGTATCCATACAGAGGATATATATGTACTCGGTATGTATCAGAGGCAAGTCCTGAATTCAAATTTTCCTGGCTTTGAGCCCAGCTTTCTCTCCAGCACTTAAATGCTCTTCATAAATCATTTGTTCATTCATTTTGTCAATGGCTTATATGAAGGAGGAGATGGAATGCTTACCAAACGTGCAGATGACATAAAACTAGGATATGTAGCTAACCTATGTATCACAGGACTGTTGACTTAACACTGGAAAGGAATCTTCAAGTTAATAATAATAATGTCAGGCACTGTGCTAAACACTTTACGAACATGATCTCATCTGATCCTCATAACAACCCTGGGAGCTAAGTGCTATTATTGTCCCTATTTTATACTTGGAGAAATTGAGACAAACAGAGGTTAAGTGATATTTACCCAGGGTCATGCAGCTAGGAAGTGTCTGAGGCTGGATTTGAACTCAAATCTTCCTGAGCCTGCCTGGGGCTCTAACCTACTGTACCACCTAGTTTACCCTGTTCTAATTCAACCTTCTCATTTTACAGATAAGGGAAATGAAGCCATAGAGGCTTATGGACCTGCCCCAGATCAAGTCAGCAAGGATTTATTAAGCACTTACTGTGTGCCAAACATTGTGCAAAGTGCTGAGAATACAAATACAAGCAGAAAGAAAGTCTCTGCCCTCAAGGAGCTTACATTCCAATGAGGGAAGACAACACATAAAGGGAACCTTAAAAGGGGAATGATGAAAGTTCTCAACAAGGGGTCACAGTAAAGAAAATCCAGGGAGTCAGGAGTATAGCCTGAAGAGCAATGAAGACATATCTGGTCTGGGCATCCTCCTTAAAAAAAGAGGTTCTTCCAAAAAAATTTTTTTTTAAAAAAGAGGTTTTGGGAGGAACCAGCCAATTATAGGAAGAGGCCTCAGGGGTAGAAGATATTTCCAATATGTGAAGTCCAGGGAAAGAGTGAACTTCCAGGGTTAAGAGGTTTCTATGGCAAAGTAGAGAAACTCCAGAGAGTCAATAGTGCTGCCTAGAAAGGAATGATCATACAGTCTATGATTACCAGAACCTTGGTTCAAACCCTGAGTGACAGAGGCAGGATCCAAAAGTCAGAGGACCTGGGTTTAAAGCTTGGTTCTGACTTGGTAAGTAAGTGACCTTGGGCAAGTCACTTAACATTTCTAAGCCTCTGAGAGTGAAATGAAGAGTGTGAACCAGCTTGTTTTTAGGTACCTTTCCATTTTAAATTGATCATCCTAAGATACATTCTAACACTTGCAATGTTAGTGTAGGTAGATTTATCCTCTACTTTCTTAGTGTTGTAATTTTTTTATTTTGAATTTATTTTGGCTGAGCTCAGCCACAGTCTGCTATAAAAATGGCTAGACCACAACTACCAAACAGGAATGTTTGTTTTTCACTTGGGTAGCAAGAATTTTTTTTTTAAGATAGGACATCAATATACCTCACGAAGGCTCCTGGAATTGGAAGCGAAGCCAACCCACAGAAGGAATATGAAGGGTCTCAGGCATGCTGGGTCAGTGACACAGTGATCAGCCAAAGGCCAGCCTCTCTACCCTTAGCTGTTTACTCTCCCCATCCCTGGCAGAGGGTGTATGTATCTCTCCATGTATCTCTTGCTAGTGCAGGGAAAGTGAATTATTCTGCAATTTGATGTCATGTAAAGAAGCCTTGTGGAATGAATGGCAGTGGCCAGGAATTCACGAGTTAGCAAAAGACAATTCACAAACTGGGCATCCTTATAGGAGTCTTAGTGCTCAAGAAGGAGGACTTTCCTCCCTCTTACAACACATTTTCAAGTTCTTCTCAAGGTGGCACTCTTAGCACATAGATCATTCCTGTGGCTGACATTTTGTCTGCTTTCAATAGCATTCTTTGGGCTTCTGAGAAAAACCTCTATCAGGGCTTGCTCTCGGCAAAATTGGAACTCTGAAGAAATTACCTACGACCCTTGCCTCTTCATTTGTCTGCTGCTCTTACCTATTTCTTTCCCCTCACCCCTGTTCTCCTAACTCTTACCCTTCAGATTCCCAGTGCTATCTGTCCTCTGGTCCTTCAGGACCCCAGATAAATTGTTCCATCCAGTGCATCAGATCTTTCTTTCTCTGTTCCCATTAAAATTTATCTGTTGTTTGTCCCATCTCTTCTGGTCACTACTCTCTCTTAGGGATAATCTGAAAAAGTTGTACATGCAACCACATGACTTGGTAAGAGCCATTTATGTGCTAGCTATCTCAGATAATAGATTTACACTTCCTTACTTTTTCTGTTCATGGCACCCCCATCCTCCCAGTTTATAAACTTGTATGCATCCTAGAATTTTCCCTCCATATCATTTCCCTCTCACCATATCTTATGTGCACCCTTTCCTCTATAATCCTGTTATCATTCTTTACTTTTAAACCTCACCTAGACTGTTACATAAGAATCCCTTACTGGTCTTCCTGCTTCTACTTTCTTCGTTCTCCAATCTACCTTTCATATAGCTCCTAAAATAATTTTCCAGATGCATGGGTATAGCCGTGTTATTCCATTACTGAAAAACCTCCCAAGGCTCCCCATGGACTAAAGATAAAATGCAAACTGCTTACTGTGGCTTGTAAAGTCCTGCATAATATGCTTCCAATCTGCCTTTCCAGTTTTATTTCGCTCTGATACCTTGCATGTGCTACTATCCAACTGGACTTATACCTCTTCTCTAATCTTGTCTGTCTCTTTCCCATACCTGGACATTCATATTTAGTGTAACACTTTGTCTGTGCCCTTCCTATGCTTTAATCACAATCTACCATGTATGATATTGATTTATAAAAATATTTTAAAGCCATGTTAGATGTTAAGAACCTTGAAGGTAGAGTCTGTGTGGCTTTTCATCTTTCCTAGCACTTGGCAGGGGGTGCATTGTGCTTATTAAATCTTAATCAATGTGTGTTGAATTGAATTTGGCTTTAGGCCAAATGAAATGATCACACATTCTGCGATTTGATGTTATATCAATGATATGAATGAGGATTCATTCATGAAATGGATCATATGTTGATTTCAGGATGGCTAGAAGGAGAGGACATTGTGCACAAGGCAACTCTTTCTAGTCCTTATCAAATCATCCCTCGTAGATGGCTTTCAGTTGTCCTTAGATGTAAAGCCCCTCATTGCTTTACATGAATTCTGTTTCACCAAGCTAGTGAGACAGACTTAGGGATCTTCCAGGTATAATGTGCACCATGGCTCTTGAGGCAATGTCCCTGTGAAATAATTAGCAGCATTTAGCAACTTGCTCAGTTATGAAACGCCTGTTTAACTGAGAATGGAGGCTGAGAAATGGGAATTTAACTTAAAATTCAACATATGTGGCTCATTTGTCTCTGTGTTCAAAGCTCCTATACACTCTTTAAAACTGTTTTAGTAACACTCAATTATCAGCATTGCAGCTTAATTTGTGCTGGATTTAGCCTTTATAAATCTGGCTTACTTTCTCCTCCCTTCTCCTTCTCCCTTTCTCCCCTCTGGCCCTTCCTTGGCACATGTTAATGAGAGAAGCATTGTGGAGAGCCTAAAGAATTGGCTTCAGTGCCAGAAAGACCTGAGATCAAATCCCACCTTTGATGTATGTTGGCTGTGTATCCTTGGACAAGCCACTTAAATGGCTCTAAAACAGGAGTCTTGACCTTTTTTTGTGTCATAGAAGAAGCTAGGTGGTACAGTGGTTACAGTGCTGGACCTGGCGTCAGGAAGACTCATCTTCCTGAGTTCAAATTTGATCTCAGACACATATTAGCTGTGTGACCCTGGGCAAGTCATTTAACTCTGTTTGCCTCTATTTCTTCATCTGTAAAATGAGCTGGAGAAGGAAATAGCAAACTACTCCAGTATTGTTGGCAAGAAAACACCAAATGGGGCCATGAAGAGTTGGGCATGACTGAAAAGTGACTGAAAATAGACCCTTCTCAGAATAGTTTTAGAAAGTCACAATAAAAGGAAATGCTAAATTTCAGTTAAGGGTAAATGAAAATAAGGATCTAATTTTTTTTCCCATCCAGGTTCATGAAACCTAGAAATCCCAAGTTAAGAATGCCTGCTCTAAAACTTTATGTTGTAGAAAAAATACTTCTCTGCATTGGTGGAGGGAATTTCTTCACTTAGGTAATGTACTAGTGAGATCACATCTCCATTCTCCACCCCCTCCAATGCTAAGTATTGTGCTCCCCTAAAGTCCTACTCTGATGCTTCATAATGACACTGAGATCTCAATTTCCTCATTTGTAAATCAAAGAGTTTAAATTAGGTGACTTGTAAAGTTCCTTCCTGCTCTACATCTCATATGCTCTGATTACGGGTGACTCTTGGTTCTCAAAATCTGTATTAACAGGACTCAAACTCTGGTTAGTTCCTACTAAGCTGAAAAGTCTTTGGCTGGGGTCTGGCAAAAGACCAAGGTTTGCTCTTCAAACCTTCTCCCCTTACCCCAATCCCCCCAAGTCCCCAGCTAGGTTCAGAGAAACTCATCACCAGAAGAGTCTATAGGATCAGAGATTTAGAGCCAAAAAGCCCATCAGAGATCATCTATTCTAATCCCCTCATTTTGCAAATGAGAACTAGAAGTTAAGTGATTTGTCCAAGGTCACATTGATAGTAAGTGAAAAATCTGGTATTCAAACATAGGTCCTGTGGCTCAAATCCAGTATACTTTTCCAACCATTCCCTGATTTAGCTACTAGGTAAAAAAAATTGTTATTATTATTATTATTATTATTATTATTTGCTACAGTCATTATAATGACTCTTTACACAGGCAAGAAATGATTGTGATCAATAATTACTGGTACAGTGGATAGAGCACAGGACCTGGAGTCAGAAAGATCTGAGTTCAAATGTGACTTCAGATGCTTACTAGTTGTGTGACCCTGTGCAAGTCCTTTAACCTTTGTTTGTCTTAGTTTCCTCAACTATATAATGGGGAGAATAATAACACCTACTTTGCAGGGTTGTTGGGAGAATAAGAGTTGTGAAGCGTTTTTAGCCCCATGCTTGGCACACAGTAGATGCTGTATAAATGTTTATTCCCTTTCTTCTCCCTCTCCATGAGGGTGTGCACCAACACCAGTGAAGTCAGAGATTCCTGAAGTATACAATGAATATTTGTATCTATCTGGCTATTTATCAGTTGACATACATGCATTTATTTAATGATATATTCAAATACATGTCGATGTATTTATGCACATCAACTCATAACAAATTATATTATGGGATAGTTTCTGCTATTTGTCCTTCAGTATCTGGAATGGAGTAGAATTCAGACAAGATGACCTCTAAGAATCTTTGTAATTCTAAGAACTTATGCTTTTATTTTTAGTCTATAACAAAGTAATAAATGTTTAAAATATTCAACAAAAATGATAAAACTCTCTCTTTGATCTTTCCAGTTCCTCAGTCCTTCAAATAATGAAGTAACTTAGAGATATATTCAAACAGGCTGAAAAAGATCTGAACACTTGAAAAATATTTTCTTTTTTTGATTCAGATATTTGGCTTGGTAAAGACCCATCCTTAGTCTTTTGGGACAAGTCACTTTATTCCTCTGATGTTTTATCTATAAAACAATCAGTTTGGATTAGATTTCCAAGGTTCATTACAGCTCTAATATTCTACAATTCTGTGAAAGCATTAGGGTCACTCTTCATCTACTCTCCCACTCAGTTCACTCCAGGTCATACATATTTGCATCTCATTATTTAGACTCTAAATAATTTTTTTCTAGAGCAAGAACTGCTGCAGCCCAATTTCTTTAAGGTAGAAGGAGTATAGAGGAAAAAGCTTCCCTCTCATGCCCAAGGGACAAGACAACCCACTAATCCAGAGGTGAAAATTAAAAGCCATCTGTGTAGGGCATTTTGGGAGCCATATTCTTGGCTGATTTCTGATCAGCACTGCTAGTTCCCACCAACCTTATCCAAATACACAATGTACCTGTAACCTCTAGGACAAAGCTCTTGCAAAGCAGAGATTTCTTATGTTTGAAAGTGCTTGAAAATCTATAGGACTCAAGCTGCTAACATGATTCCTAGAAGATCCTATTTAGATCTATCTCAATGTTCTCCAATGGGTAAAAACAAAAACAAAAACAAAACCCACAATGCAAAGCAACAACTCACTAACCCTTATAGTTTCTAAAACAGCTGGAGTTCATATCATTCATAGCAGTTACAGATATTGCTTTGGCTGCCTCTTAGCTGAAATTTTAACTACACTTCCTGCCTAACATTCAGTTCAATTTAATTCAAACCTTTATGCTTATTATATGTAAGGCATTAAAGAAGAGAGGGTAACATAGGTAGTGTAGTGGTATCAAACTCAAAAAGAATTGGGGACCAATAAATTACACATAAGGAACCCTGAGGGCCACATATTGAGTTAGAAAATCATATGTTAACATTATTTATCTTCTACTGTATTTTTTTATTTATTTTGTTAAATATTTCCCAATTACATTTTAATCTAGCTCAGGTCACATTAGAGAGTATTTCCAGCAGTGTGTTTGACACTTCTGGTGCAGTGTAGACCACCAGACTTGTAGCCAGGAAGACATGGGTTCAAGTCTTATTTCTGATACATAGCTATGTGACTATGGACAAGTCACTTACCCATGTTCTTTAAGACAAGAGGTCTTAGACCATAGAGTCTGTGGATATATTTTATGGGGTTGGTGAACTTGTGTGGGAAATATGTATATGTTTACATTTGTATACATATATCTATTAACCTGTAATCAAAATTTAGCATTTCCTTCAATTATGAATGTGGGCAACAAACATTATTTTGAGAGTGGGTCCACCGTCTTTACCAGATTGCCAAAGGCATCCCTGACAAAAAAAAAAGATAAAAAACTCTGCTTTTAAGATTACAAGTAATAATTACAGGTAATAGACAAGTTGCTCTCTACTTCAATCACAAACAATTAGCATTTATTAAATACCTACTGTGTGTCAGCCACTATGCGAAGTGCTGGGGACATTACCAGCTTAGTGCCACCTGCAAATCTGATGAGTTTGCTTTCTATGCCTTTATTCAAGTCATTAATAAAAATGTTAAACAGTCCCAGGTCAAGCACAGATCACTGGGGTACTCCACTGGAGACTTCCTATCTGCTTCACTGACACTGCACCATTCTAGTCCAGCCTTCCAACCAGCTTTGAATCTGTCTGACTAGATACAAGAGGGCATATATATCCCTTTTCAGTAAACCATGGAAAGAACAATGACTTTGGAGTCAGAGTCAAGGGGTTGTATCCTATCTCTGCCACTTATGATTTGTGTGACTTTGCATAAGTCACTTAACTTCTCTAGTCCTCAGTTTCCTCATATGTAAAATGAGTGGGTTGGACTTGAAGGTTCATACTAAGGTTAAATTTATGACACTATTAACTTCCCTGTCATTTCTTAGATTAGGCTAAGGGATTGATGAGATTAACTCATGTAAATGAATACAGTCCTACAGGACTTAGTTTGGGACAATCTTTTTCCAGCCTTATATTCAGATCCTGTTCTGTCTACTTCAGAAATCTGGCTTACTGTGTATTCCATGCTCTTTTCCTCGACTGTGTGGCTCAGCAATTCTCTGCACAGGGTTAGCACGTAAATATTTGATGATTTTGTTTTTTATAAACATTGTTAACCAGAATGAGTAAAGGGGAACTTGTGGATTTGATGCTTTCCCTCTCACTCTGCATATGGAATGTATTCTCAAACTTCATCCTCAGAGATTTTGCCCTTTGCCAGTTAACATGACCTAGAGGAAACAGATCTCAGCTGAAAGTGATTAGTGGAGTCTCAGATAAAACTCTTTAAAAAGTTAAGAATGCAACACTAAAACACTCCATGACATATTTGTGAACTGTTGGGAGCCACCTGTACCTCATGCATTGGAAACAATCAACTAGGAGGCAAGAAGCCTGGGTTCAAGCCCCAGCTCTGCTATCAGCCAGCTTACATGGCTTTGGAAAATGCACGTTCACTCAATTTCCTTACCTGGAAAATGAGAAAGGTAGATTAGAGGATCCCTGAGGTTGTCCCTGCTCTAGCAGTCTATGCATTTATGACTGCTTAGAAGAGAAATGGATGCACAGGTGGTTGTTCGTATTTTACCTTATAAAAAAAGGATCATGGTTGGGGTGTATGTGTGTGGCAGCTGGGATGAGGTTCTAATCTACCAGAGCACATTCAGTGTCTCAGTGCACCAGAATTAAAACACATGCTAGCTGTCATTCAAGTGAAATAAAAACTGCAAACATTAAAAAATGGTCTTGTTTCCTTAGGTGTCAAAGCTAATCTCATGGAAGAGAAAACATAACATGTTCTCAAAGAGAGATGTTCTTTAGATGAAAAACAAAATGGTGATCCAGTAGTAAGCTTAATCTTGCTATATGTCTTTAGATCAGAAAAGTGACCCAGTGACCAGTGGGATCTTTTAATATGAGGATTCTGAGATATCTGTAAAATGAAATAAAAAATTTTAAAATGGGATTCCTAGTCCTATCTCCCAGTGACCCCACAGTAATGAGCCAAAAGAAGCGTCATATGAAATCTTTTGGCTTCTTCAGAAAAACAGGGATAGGAATTCAAGGCCATCTTAGTACATTTATTCATCTTATCTCCAAATTTTTACTCCTTACCACAAACATTAGGGAATGTTCTCAGACACTAGAATGTCTTTCTATACAATAGCACAAAATAGTGTAGAGTACTGGACTCGGGGTCAGAAGAACTGGATTTAAGTTTCTGCTCTGATTTTTACTAGTCACTAGCGTAACTGCGAAAAAGCCTCTCAAACTCTGTAAGCCTCAGTCTCTTAATCTGTAAAATGAGGATAATAATAACTCACAAGGTTGCTGTAAAAATATTTACTTTTTAAAGTGTAAGGCACCATGCAAATGTGAGCTTCTATGATTGATAGGCAGCAAAATGAGTTAGACTTGCACTCAGGTTTTGCTCTGACACTTACTAAGTGAGCCTTGATTTAGTTTTTCTGAGCCTCTGTTTTTTCATCCATAAAGTGGGCATAATGATATTTGTGTTACCGACTTGTACCTCTGCCCCAGGGCTGTTGTCAGATCCAAATGAGATTATAGATATGAAAGTGCTTTGCAAACTGCATGACGCTCTATAAATGTCAGCTATTACTCATTATTTTTTGAACTATGTAGGTTACCTATGTTGGTACAATTTTAGGTAGATACTTCATAAAAAAGGGTATCTTGTCAAAAACCCAGGGAGCATAAGAAGAAAAGCACATATATGGCTAGGCTCAAACACAGA